TAAATAAACCCTTTCCTCCCCAAGTTGGTATTGGTCAGAGTGTTTTGTCACAGCAATGAAGAAATAAACTAGGACACCCACACTCCTTATTTTAGAATACACCTTCCCATCAGCCTCATGTTCTCCACCATCAACTTGCTCTCTGGGATCTCCTCAGAGTATGGTTTCCAAGCCTCTACACTTCTTTCATTCGGGGCTGGACACTTTTTTGTTGTAAGGGGCTGCCCTGTGCTGTGTAGGATGTTAGCAGCATCCCTGACCCTTACTTACTGGATGCCAGGAACACCCCGACTTGTAATAACCAATGATGTCTCAGATGCTGCCAGATGTCTCTAAGGGACAAAAAAATCACACCCCGTTCAGAGTTACTCCCTTAAAGGGTTCTGTTCTTAAGTCTTCCCAGCAGGCTGAGCTCTCAGGCTGCTGATCCACTTGCCAGTGCTCCTAGCAAGGCATCCATGGTGACTGTGAGGAGGCAGACAGCTCATGGCACTGAGGTTTGGTCTGTTTCACTCTGAATAAAGAGTCATTGACCCCAAACCCAAATAGATGCAAGGCAGAAAACCAAGCGACCCGAGAGGATATGACTCCACATTTCTCAAACTGCTTCCTTCTCATTTCCAGCTAGATTTAAGATGGGAGCTATTATAATATCCCCAATTCCAAAAGGGAACTAAAAATAAGTGGAAATATAGTTGTTTGTTGAACATATATAAATTGCTTTTTTTTTTTTTTTTTTTTTGCTATTTCAGATAGTCTGTGAAGTGATGGGAATGTAATGTAAATGGTCAAATGTACAATTTAAGGAACTTATAAGCCTGTCTGTCCACCTAGTGGACCGTCATTTCATTCCCACACACAGATTTAATGAGGTAATGCAGAAGGCAGGTTCCTTCCCCAACTTCATGGGGCTTCTAAGGGAATCAGTGCTTACAAATGAGTGTAGGTTGAGAAAGGTGACATGCATGGAATGCCAGCACTTGGGAGGCAGAGGCAGGAGGGTCAACTTTGAGGCTACCCTGAGCTACACAACAGGGTCTTGTCTTGACTTCCCTACCACACATGCACAAACAAAAAGAAGGGGGTAAGCAGGAAACACAGCTGCCCTCTCAGGGTGTCCAAGGTTGCAAAGGCATAGCTCCGCCTATGAGGGGACCAGGGGAGCTAAAGACAGATGACCCTTCCACAGGCTCCATATTCAACTGGCACCATGGGGAGAAGGCTAATAGGCAGGGTGTTCAGATGCTTCTGTGTGAGAGCTGAGCTGAAGTGGGCTGCGGTGAACTATGGCCCTAATGGAGGGATCTCCTACTCTTTCTGCCTTTTTCCCCCTCTCTAACTACTGTCAAGATTACCTGGTTATTCTCCACAAGTACAGACAGTTGAAATTGTGCCTGGCAACAATATGACAGCTGAGAACATCAAAGAAGAGAGAAGTGCCTACCAGCCTCCAGAGCTGAGCCCCTTCTGGCAAGTGAACCCCAGAGCTGGAGAGTTTGCTTACTCCACAGACAACATCTTTGAGCAGGAGATTTACTTTGGTAATGGTGCTGCACTCTGAGGTGGAGACATGGGTCAAGGAAGTGAGGGCAGCAGAGTCCTAAGGGGGGATGAGAGTTCATACATGCTGAGTACATCCCCTGGGCACTAGCACAAGATTTGTGACAGTGATATCTGGTGGGAAGCAAATAGTCCTCTGGTCTGTTTCCTTATCCTCTATCTTACTAAGGAGGGAGTGGCGGATGGAACTATAACACTAGTAACGGTTGACTTTGGGAACACCCTATTCTCTCTCTGCCCTTTCTTCACTTTGAGATAATCTTCTCCATTGACCTGCTATGTTATAGGGAGAAAAAATCACAGGCTTTGGAGTCAGGAAGATTTGGGTTTAAGTCCTGGTTTGGTCCTGTCTTAGAAACTTTCAGAAAATTACATTAATTCCCCTGAGCCTTAATATACTTCATTTGTAAAACAATGTTAACAAAAATGTACTATAAGTGCAGTAGACAAGAAAGCATATGTAGTGCTTCTGTCCAATGCTTAGCACATAGAGATTTTTCATAACTGACTGCTACCTCCCTTCTCTGCCTTGCAATCCTTTCAATGCCTGGCCTTGCAGAATATATGATCCAGGACTCCATGTTCCAAGCTGTTTCTTCACCACTCCCATCTTGTTCCTAAACTGCTCTCAGCTGGGTCTTCTTAAAGAGTTTAACAAAACTATTCTAAGGGACTCATGACTGATGGGATTAAGTGACCCTTCTTTAGTGTCTAGCAATACCTTAAATTAGCTTCAGCCTTACCAATAGAACACACTATCTTTGGTTCTCCTAGACCTCTATGACTCTTCCCTGTGAGGCTACCAACTGTGACATTTCTTTTTTTTTTTATATTTATTTTTTTTATTTTTTATGTGTATGTGTGTAATGCCTGCATGTAGGTAAGTGCACCCGTGTCATGCATGCCCATGAGGTCAGAAGGGGCTGTCGGATCCCCTGGGACTGGAGTTACGGACAGTTGGTAGCTGCCATGTGGGTGCTGGGATTCGAACCCGGGTCTTCTTCAAGAACAGCCAGTGTTCTTAACCGCTGAGCCGTTTCTCCAGCCCCCCAACTGTGACATTTCTAAGCAACAGTTGCCTTCAACAATGTTCCACAGCATGGGAATCTTGAGTTCTGAAGGCTTAGATTAGGGCAAAAGAAAATTGAGTTCAGTAAGCAGAAACTGGGAAGACAGGAAGCAGAGGGGCTGGGACTCATTGTATCTTTCTTCACAGATGAAGTGAAAATCGTCCATCAGATTGGTGGGAAGAGGGACCAAATTGTCCTGGAAAACCTTAATCGGTACAACAAGCATCTATCTAAGGCCTTCCCTGAAACCCCAGAAAAGTGGAGTTTCCAGTCTGTTCCTGAAGCATGTAAGCAGGAAGTGGATAATGGGGGTAATGACGGAAGTGGGGTAGTAATCTTTAAGGTGATGAGCACCTCCAGCAATGAGGTCACCCCTTTCTAACAACTAACAATTATAACATTATAAAATGTGAATTGTTGGATGGAGAGATGGCTCAGCAGTTAACAACACTGGTTGTTCTGGCAGAAGACCTGGGTTCGAATCCCAGCACCCACATGGCAGCTAATGGCTGTCTGTAACTCAAGTCCTGGGGATCTGACAGCCTCTTCTGACCTCCGTGGGCATTGCACAACAGGGGTGTGCTTACCTACATGCAGGCAATACATGCATACACATGAAAAAAAATAATCATCTTAGTGCTTCCATAAAAGCACATCAAACTCTTCTCTCACCACTGTGCCCTTGGGCTGGCTCTACCCTCTCATTCCATACTCAGACACATCCTTGCCTCCCACCCTAGGACCTTTCTTTGTTGTTTTTCTTCCTCTTCCTCCTCTCCCTGCCTCCTCCTTTTTCTCATGTATCTGTGTATATAGTGTGCATGACTGTACGTGTGAGCTCATGTTGTGTGAGCATGCATGTGAAAGGCTGAGGGTGATGTCAGACATCTTCCTCAAGCACTCTCTACCTTATTCATTGATGTAGTCTCAACTGAACTCAAATCTCACCTCTACAACTTGTTTAGCTAACCAGCTTGCTCTGGAGATCCCCTATCTTTGCTTCCCAAGTGCTAGGATTGCAAGCAGGCTGCCACATCTGCCTAGCTTTTATGTGGGTGCTAGGGATGCGAGCTCTGATCCTGATGCTTGCATAGCAAGCCCTTACCTGCTGAGCCATTTTGCTAGTCCTTCTGTTTCTTAAGTATATCATTCTTCATTTTGTAAAACAAATAAGTCAAAGATGACCAAGAAATGAGCTTCTGAAACAAAATGTACCTAACTTCAAAGAGATTATGTGTCCAATTCCCATGATTCTTTGCAGTATCACTATTCAGATGGGCCTTCTGGTGATGAGGATATATAGCTCAGTGGTACAGTACTTGCAAACATGTACAAGGCCCTGAGTTCCATAGGTGTGACCACAATGTGGCAGGGCCTTGTGCAGATGGGTGATACGTCACGCTTCATTGCACAGCTTGTAGGCCCAGGAAAGGAGCCCTGCGTTGGACTGCTTTGCCCACCCCAGTCAAGGACCTTTTGCTGAAGGTGGGTGAGGACACATCCACCAAGCCTAGAAGGTGGAAGAAGCAGGTTCAACCCCTGAAGGAAGATGTGACTTGGGAAGTGGCAGTCCTACGAAGAATGCTACAGGAATGGAAGACTGCCTGGGCACTCAGTAAGTGGAGGAATGGCTGGAGATAGCCATGGGTATTTGTAGACGTAGATTTGAGTAGCATTTGTTCCCCAGTCTTAGAAAACTTGTGAAATGTAAAAGGCTATTTGCCTCTTTAAGGCTAGACTGGATAAGAGCCTTTCATTTGGTAGGTGTTATATGAACATTTATTAGTTACATCTGCCCTGGATTCTTTTTGCATGGTATTATACTTCAGTCATGTGTAGGAATTCACTGCATAAACTCAATAGGCAGAGAGCTTAGCTTGTCTCTCCTGAAACATGATCGATAAATGATTCATGTCAGGCAAGACCAAAGATACTGCCTAAACATTGGCTATGTAGCTATCAAAAGAAACCACAGTTTCAATTGTGCAACTGAGGTTATTATGTATCTAGTTTTCCTTTAAAGATAAGCAAGCAGAAGCTGGGCATGGTAGCACATGCCTGTAGTCCCAGCACTTGGGAGGCAGAGGCAGGCGGATCTCTGTGAGTTCAAGGCCAGCCTGGTCTACATAGTGAGTTCCAGGACAGCTGGGGCTACAGGGAGACCCTGTCTCAAAAAAAAAAACAAAAAACAAAAAATAAAGATAAGCAAGTAGAATGTAGAGTGCCTAGGTATAGTGGTTTGAATGAAAATGTCCCCCATAGGCTCTAAGTATTTGGACATTTTGTCCCCAGATCGTGGTGCTGTTTTGGGAGGTTTTAGAAGGTGTGGCTATCCTGGAGGAAACACGTCACTGGGGGTGGGCTTAAAGAGTTCTTAAGCTTTGCCAGATCTCCAGTTGCTCTCTTGCTTCCTGTGCCTGCATGATGATGTGAGAGCTTAGCTTCTGCTGCTCCTGCTCCAGCCACTCCACCATGCCTCCCTGTCATGACAGACTGTAATTCTCCTGGAACTGTAAGCTCAAACTCTTCCTTCTATAAGTTGCTTGGGTCGGTGTTTCTATCACAGCAACAGAAAAGTGACTAATACACTAGGGCAGAGTAATGGGCTAGCAAGGAACACTGGAAGTTTGAGAATGCAAGGATTGCTAGACTTCTAAGCACAACAGAGTAGTTTAGTTACAGGACAGGTGATCCACTAGGTAAAGAATGGGCAACAAATAGGTTGAAAAAGAGACCGAGTAAGTGCTACTTGTGGGGAACAGGGACAGATAGAAGAGCAGAGCAGTTTCATCTCTTCAAAGAAAGCAGCTAGCAACTACACAAGTAAGGAAGAGCCCCCCAAAATCAAAGAAACCTAATGATAACCACAATAATTCAGCTTTGTTAGGCTAAGTACAGCTCAGTGATAGATCACTTGCCCACCATGTATGAAGCCCCTAGGTTCAATCCCCAGAGCCAGAAGAAAGCATTTATTAAGCCCTTGTTTATGCTAAACACTACATTTTCTAATTAACACTCTTAACCATCAAAATAACTCGATATGGTAGGTTCTAGTATTAGTCCTATATTACAGATGAGAAACCACATTGGATAAGTAACTTATCCAATAACTATGTTTCCAAATTAGTGACCTCTTGGCAACAAAGTACTTTTTTTTTAAATTTCATTATTTTTATTTTATTTGCATGAGTGGATTGTCTGCATGTATGTAAGTGGGCCAGTGCAATGCCCATAGGGTCTCTAGCCCAGGCTGGCCTTGAACTTCCTATGAAACAGAGAATGATCTTGAACTTCTGAGCCTACTGAGGCCTATGCCACCATACCTGGTGTTTTGAGGTACTTGGGATTGAACTAAAGGCCTCATGCACCCTAGGCAAGTACTCGAACAACTGATAACTATATCCCTAGCCTTGGTTTTCATTTTGAGATGAGGGATTTACTATGTTGCCCAGGCTCATCTTGAACTCATGAGTTCATGATCCCCCTCCTTTGGCCTCTCAAGTAACTGGCACCAAGTAACTGTGTGCCACCATACCCTACCAACCTCTACATTTTATCGCCCTATTTATTTTCCATGTATTTAACAACAAAACTATTCAATCAAAGAGCAATAGAATAAAGAATGAAACTGGGAAAAACTGTCTGAGACGTATATAAATCATCACAGAAATAACTTCCCTAAGGAGCCTATCTCTGAATCTTTTATTCTTCTGAGCTAAGATTTTGCTTGAATTGTCCTAGGGAAAAAACTGCTTGTTACCTGCCTATTTAATCAAGGTATCTTTATTAGTTACTTTTCTGTTGCTGTGATGAAACACTGTGACCAAAAGAACTTATAGAAGGAAGAGTTTATTTAGCTTACGGTTCAAAAGGGGCAAGAGTTCATCATGGTGGGGAGGCATGACAGCAGAGGTGGCTGGAGCAGAAAGAGGAGTGCCTCACATCTTCAAGCAGGCACAGGAAGCAGAGAGTGATTGGAAATCCAGCAGGGTTTAAGAACTCTGAAAGCCCACCCCCAGTGACACACCTCCTCCAGCAAGGCCACACCTTGGAAAACCTCCCAAAACAGTGCCACAGACTAGGAACAAAATGTCCGAATACATGGGGTCTATGGGGGACATTCTCATTCAAACCACCACAGGCTCTAACCCTAACCAGGTGATTCTCTTTTCATTTTCTTTCCTGTGGCACAGTCATTGAATGGCACCATGAGACAGTGGAGAACCTAATGCGGGGCATAGTAAGCATGAATGATGACAACAGAATCCATGCCATTGTCACTTGTGCCACAGCTGCTTTAGAATGGCCCCGGATTGCCAGGAAGCAGAACTCAGGTGAGAGCTAGGACTGAGCTGCCTAGGAACATCTTAACTGAGAAAGTCCTTGGGGATTACCTGAGCTCATTTTCCAAATGGAGAAACCAAGGCCTAGAGACTGGCCTGGAGAGCCCAGCTCATCACAGTAGCTTCTAGCCCAGTGTCCTTGTATTGAGCTCAGGGCTGCTGGCATGCAAGGAAGCATGCACTCTACCACCAGGGCTTTTTGTACTATATCATTCATTTGCTCAGTGGCTTGCAGTGAAGTCCACATTTTCTCACCTTGAGACCTCAGTCATAATAGCCCAAAACTGTATTTTAAAAAAAAATAAGCACTGAGGGTATACCTCAGTGGTAGAGTGTTTGCCCAGCATGCATAAGGCTCTAGGCTTGATCCTCATTAAAGAGAGGGGAAGAAAACCAAGGGGTGAAGAAAAAAATTACATAAATCAGTTTGATAGTTTTTATATTTTAAAACAAAAAATGAATTCTCAGTGGTCTCCAATCTTTTAGGAAAAATGTCAACAACATTTCCCTTTACTTGCAATAACATAAAACTCCCTTCCCCTCTACTAGAGCCAAAGCTATAATCTACCAAAAGATAGTTTAATAATACAGGCCCCAGATGATAAAATGTTGCAGAAAGAAATTCCACCCACTCCTCTATACTGCCTGTGCAACTTGTTCCTTCTCTGAGCTGGTCTCACACCAGGCTCACTCTCCTCATACTGAGCACTGTGTCTTAAGTATCTGTTTATACTTCCACCATCCCTGCAGGTAAGGGCGGGGACTGGCTTACCTCTACCAACATGTCAGGTTTTAAAACTTTCATCCACTAACTTGATGTTTATTGATTTCTAGATATGGGCATTTCCCCCTAGATATGGTTGGTGGTGCCAGAGACCAGACCTTCATGCATGCAAAGCACTCTACCAACTGACCCAGGCTCCTTCTGGTTTTCAAGTTTGCAGCTCCCTCTGCTGAAAAACTTTCTCTGATCAATGCTAAAATTTCCAGCAAAGACAACACTTCTCTGAGAAGCCTTCCCTTGGAACTTAAGACTGCTTAGTGCCCCTGCTATGTGCTTCCACACATTTTTTGCTATATCTGCTTATTTTCTTGGACAATGGATATTGTTATGACTGTACATATTAGAATTCCTTTGCCTTCCTCAGAGTTGTGCATTTTATGTGATCCCTTTCACAGGTCTTTCACGTCTAGATTTTGCTCTAGTTACTAACCCAAAGAAAATTGCCTTAAATTTTGTTTTTGGAGACAAGGTCTCACTCACTATACTACCCTGGCTGATCAGAAACAGTGTAGACCAGACTGGCCTCAAACTTGGAGGCAAAGATCCATCTGCCTCTGCCTCCCAAGTATTGGGAATGAAGGCATACATCAATACATCTGCCTACTAATTTTTTAAATACTCAGTTGATTTGTTGAATCTCTTGAAATGTACATATTTCCATGTACAGATTGAGTATTCCTTGCATGAAATACTTGGAACTAGAAAATTTTTGGATTTTTTTCAGATTTTGGTATATTTGAATATACATGAGTTTCTTGGAGATGAAACTTAAGTCTAAATGTGAAATTATTTTCATTACATATGTACTTTATGTAGCCTGATGGTAGGCTCATACAATACTTTTAGTGTATGCATTTTTATTGAAACCTGTCACATGAGAGCAGGTGTAGATAATCCACTGGTGGTGTCATGTCAATACTGAAAAGCTTGGCATTTTGGAAGATTTCCAATTTTGGATTTGGAGATCAATAATCCTGAACCAGTATGTAGTCTGTTCTTAACAGATGGTACTATTAACCTACGGTGTAAGTAAAAAAGACAGATGCACTGAGTGTGGTAGTGTATGCCTATAATTCTAGCTCTTGGGAGGTAGGGGCAAGAAAATTAGGAGCCCACAGTCAGCCCAAGCTACATTATGATCCTCAAAGACAAAGCAGATATTGTTTTCATATTTTGATGGTGCTGGAGATTAAATCCAATGCTTTGTGCTTGCTAAGAAGGCTTGCTACAACTGAGCTAAAATTTTTCCTATGTTTAAGGGCAAATTGTTTATGACAAAAATAAGCCCTAACTGATAAATCCACATCAGGACTGGAAAGGACTATAAATGAAAAAAATAAATATCTGACTGGGCCTCCCCAGATGCCTTATCACAGACATGTCCTTTGTATATCCTAGAATTCTATCCATAGAGGTGCTATTAGAGATACTAGCACTTGTGGACTTAAGCAGATATTGTTTTCATATTTTGATGGTGCTGGATATTAAATCCAATGCTTTGTGCTTGCTAAGAAGGCTCGCTACAACTGAGCTAAAATTTTTCCTATGTTTAAGGGCAAATTGTTTGTGACAAAAATAAGCCCTAACTGATAAATCCACATCAGGACTGGAAAGGACTATAAATGAAAAAAATAAATATCTGACTGGGCCTCCCCAGATGCCTTATCACAGACATGCCCTTTGTATATCCTAGAATTCTATCCATAGAGGTGCTATTAGAGATACTAGCACTTGTGGACTATACATCCATCCAGAGTGAACTCCACGCTCCTATGCTGTCCCCAGAACACTGTGGAACGTTATACAATCTAGGAACCCCAGAGAAAAGGAATGCCTGACATTGCTGCCCTGTTAACAACTCTGTGCTCACCCTAATCCTTCTGAAGTACAATGTGAATCTGAATGTTGTTAAATCTGAAAGAACCTGTTTGGGTTCTGCAGTGACAGATACTTGTCGAATGTTGTTAAATCTGAAAGAACCTGTTTGGGTTCTGCAGTGACAGATACTTGTCGAACTCAACCAGGGCTGAAATACTGAATGTGGAAATGGCAAAGCACTACCTAAATATAATTGCTATTATAGGATAAATGGGTTGATTGTTGTCACTAAGGTTAACAATGGTCACTGTAGCTACTTGGAAATATTCCTTTGGTTTCAGTGTCAGGTGATAAAAGAATTGGAAACTGGTATACCAGAACTCAACTCCTCTTGATCATAAAATCCTGCCCATTGCCTGACATGGTAGCATACGCCTTTAACCCTAGCACTTGGGAGGCAGAGGCAGGCAGACCTCTGTGAGTTCGAGGCCAGCTTGGTCTCTATAGCGAATCCAGGCCAGTTGTGGCTACAAGGAGACCCTGTGTCAAAAGGACCAAAAAAAAAAAATCTTGCCCATTGTAGGGGGTCAGCTGACCTGTGATTTAGTTAAGCCATAGACTAAGGTGGGCCACCATATGGCCCTGGCAAGAAAGCTATTTGAGAGAAAAGCAAAACTAAGTGTGGGGTCTCTCCCTTCCCTTGTGGGTCATTGGCCACCAGTCCATGAGGACAAAGGGAGCAGAAGCGATTAACTGAGTCAGGGACAGCCAGTGAGCACTGTCGGAAGAAAGCCCTTCCGGGGAGACAGGTTCAGTGATACAAACAGCTCCAGACTCAGTGAAACAGCTCCGTTTATTCAGTGGGGGTTAGGGAAAATGTGGAGGCAGCAACCAATGCTTCCGCTGACAGGTGCTCATAGTATGCTTTATTTACATGTGGCAGGGGATCCTATCATCCGACTATGGGGAAATGCCTAATTATCATATAGAAAAAACCTGGGGGTAGTTTTATTGCAGGTAACTATGCCAAAGGTCATGTTTCAAATGAGGCCAAGCATCTGTGCTTGGCGGCACTTTCCAGGTAAGTCAGGCAGGAAGCCCTTGCTGAGAAAGGAGCCGACCTTAACAGCAGGGTTCCCCAACAACTAAGTACTTTCCTATCTGGCTCTTTTGATCGCAGATCCATTTATTCCGGATTTGCCAGAGGCTCTTGTGCCTGCTCTGGAGGGTGCTCTGTATGATAAGAATGCCAATGTGAGGATGGCAGCAGCAGTATGCCAATACGCCACACAGTCACATAATCCCACTGCTCAGGACATCATGTAGACTGCCCTTGTGAAGGGTGAGTAACTCTGTTACTGCTGACCTGGGAATACAGGATGCAGGGAGGGTTACCTCACTATCAGTTTTCCCAGTCTTCCTCTTCACTATGTTAGAATGTCTGCTGCATCAGATTTGCATTCAGAAATCCATTTTTCCTATGTACTTTTACAAAATAGGTACCATGCACTAAGCTTTTCACATATCCTAAAGTGGAGAAAATCAGATATATATGTCAAATAAAATAAGCTACACCACTGAAAGACTCCTGTTCTTTCCCCTATAAGAAAGTTGTAATTCAAAGGTCAATCTGAATGTATAGTGATTACTAAAGGTTAGAGGTGGGGAGCAGAAAGTGGTTATAGGCAGACTGGATTTGATCAGTGCAATGCTATATGCATGCATTGAAATAGCACCCTGAACCCCATTAATATATACAACTAATACATGTTAGCCATAATTTTAAAGCTACAGATCTAGCTCAGTGGTAGAGAGAGCAAGGCCCTGGGTTTGATCCCTAGCACTAAAAAGTAAACAATGGTCGTTTACATACCCTGACTTTTAATTGCAAAGATGACAATAGCAGTAGTTAAGTACAATTTGAATTTTCTTAAAACTCACCATCTAAACATATCATGCTTCCTATTTTGACATTTAACACCCAGGCATTGTCATGTTGGGGTTAATCAACAAAGCTGTCAGGTGAGGTGCCCAAGGTGCCTAGTTGACCTCTCTGACAAGACTGTTCCTTGTCTTGGCATGGGAGAACTGGCTAGCTGGCCTGGCCTTCTGTGTATAAACAATACACTGCTTAATCCATCTATTTTAGGAAAGCACCTCCTCTCCACCCACCCTCCAGTCTCCCCAATCTCTAGGGGGAGGTGGGAGATAACTACATTTCTTAGCTAGGTCAAAAGTATGTTGCCCAACAAGAACTTTTAGAATTTTTCAGTTGGGCCTGGTTGGTGGTATACACATTTAATCCTAGCACTTGAAAGGTAGATAGGGTTCAGAACTTCAAGGTCAGAACTGTGACTATAGGTCTTGTGCATGAAGCCCTAAATTCAAGCTCTAGTACTAGTTTTATCCCTGTAACGTCCAAGGTCATCCTCTGCAACATGATAAATTTAAGGTCAACCTGGGCTATGTGAAACCCTATTATCAAAAATACTTTGTATTTATGCCTGGCGTGGTGGTGCATGCCTTTAATCCCAGCACTGGGAGGCAGAGCCAGGTGGATCTCTGAGAGTTCAAGGCCAGCCTGGTCCAGGACAGCTGGGGCTACAGGGAGACCCTGTCTCAAAAAGACAAAAAAAAAAAATTTTTTTTTTTAATTTAAAATCTTAACGTGCTCTATATGATTTAAACATGGGATTAGATTTCCAGACTTCAGGGGAGGGTTGCAAGTGAGATTTCAGGCAGGCAACAGTCTTAGGTGCCAATCCAAAGGCTGTTCTTTTGGGAGAAAAACAGATAATCATTCTGGACTCATTTTTTCCACCCCATTGGTACAGGTAATAGTGTTGACAGCTGGGCTGCAGCTCAGTGCTTGGCACTGAAAGGTATTGCTACTTACCCGGTGATTAAGAGGATCCTGCAACAGCTCTTTAACAAGAAGAATGAGGCCACTGAGGAGCAGTCTTGTATCCTCCTGAGCCATCTCAGCGGAAAGACAGTATGTGTCTACTACAGGGTCAGATAAAGGAATGAGGTCTTGGGGAATACATGGAATCCAGAATGCATGTGGTTGAATAGGATAATCTCAAGCATAGGTGAAAGCGCACCAAGTCTGTGTAAAATGAGTTATGGAGATGTATACAGGGAAATGTAAAAGAGCGAGATGAGGAAAGTGAGAAACTGATTGCAAATGGTTTCTAACAGTATAAAAGTAGAATCATGACATGTAGAATCTGCTTCTGATAGAAGTTTGTCATTGAAAACCACATAGACCTATGTTTATAACTTTTGGTAGAAACATGAAACTAAAACATATACAAATCATTTGGGGATTTAAAAAAAAAAACAGCCAGGAAGGGAAGGCCTTCATTTTCTGCTCAGATTATTAAACCTTTATTTTCTGGTTTATAACCCCAGAGTAAGTATGCTTGGAGAACTGCTCTTAAAAACCCACTCTGTCCCTTAAGAGGGGTGGGCATCTCATGGCCTTGGAACATTTATTATGCTGGATTCATGGAAGGATGCAATTTCTTCAAGATCCCAGTGTGTCTAAGAGTGACTGTGAAGATCCCTACAAATTTTCCTTTTCCTCAGACCCTGATACACACAATGCTTGCTGTGGAGCTGAACAGCCAACAATGGAAGGACAGGATTGTGGCCTGCCAGGCTTTCTCCCGGATCAGTGGAAATGTCTGCATAGTAAGCCTTCTATTTCTTTGCTGAAATGGAAGCCTGAGCAAGGCTGGCATTAGGGAAACTATCTCAACACTACCCCTTACTCATAACTTGGAATTATCTTCAAATTATTATGTATTACTGTGACTTAAGCCAGTGCTTCTTAAGACCACTAACTATAACACAGCCACAATGAAATACAAAAACTAAGAGAGCTTATAAACTTTATAGTAATTTGACATTGTTTTAATATCCATTGACATAAAATTACCAATGACATATTTCCACCTCATGCTATTCCAAAAATTGATCCTTCATTAGTCTAAGAAGCACTGACTTAAAAGACCCAACAGTTCTGTGCTGGTTCTCTAAATGTTCAGCACTTTTTTTTTTTTTTTTTTTTGGTCTTTTTGAGACAGTGTCTCCCTGTAGCCCCAGCTCTCCTAGAACTCGCTATGTAGACCAGGCTGGCCTTGAACTCACAGAGATCCACCTGCCTCTGCCTCCCGAGTGCTGGGATTAAAGGCGTACGCCACCATGCCCAGTCTCAGCACACACTTATAAAACACAGATCCTGCTTTCAGAAAAAAAGGCATGGCAATAGTAGCAACAAGATTGAGGCCAGCTGGGGTTATACAGAGACAGTATCTAAAGGAAAAAAAGCACTCTCTTGATTCAGGCAGGAAGATTAATGTAAACTAAATGTAATTGGTTACACGTCTATAAAGAAGTGTGGAACACAGCTACAACTGAAGAGGGAATTCCAAGCAAGGGAAACCCAAACCCCTTTTTACCATTATTTTTGATCATTTCTGTCAAAGTGGGATCTTTCCCTTCTTTTCTGCTGCTACATCTTTTTATCACATTGTATATCTTCAGCATAGCCCACAACACTGCCATTCTTTAACCCTCACAGTTTGATACAGGAAGCATACAATCCTGTCATTCAGCGTAATTACATGAAGAGGTTTAAGGCCAGGTTAATTCTTTCTTGATGCTATGGTATTCTGCTGCTAACATCCCGGACCAGCAGCACAGACATCATCTGGGACCCTGTTTAGAGATGTAAAATGGCACCTTAAGACAACCCAATCAAAATCTACATTTTTTTTTTTTCGGTCTTTTGGAGACAGGGTCTCTCTGTAGCCCCAGGTGTCCTGGAACTCACTATGTAGACCAGGCTGGCTTTGAACTCACAGAGATCCACCTGCCTCTGCCTCCTGAGTGCTGGGATTAAAGGCGTGTGCCACCACACCACTCTTTTCTTAAAAAAAAACAAACTACTTTTTTTAAAAAAAACAATTTCATATTTATAACATCTAATCTGCACATTCAGTAAGAAAGCAGTTTCTGACCACATCCCTCCTACACTGGTAGGTATTATGCCAGCATTAGTGGTGCAGAGAGAATATATCTTCTTTTGGTCAAGGTTATAAACAGCTGTAACAGAAGTAGCTATAAGGTACTATCGAGGTTTCCTATGCTTACAGGGGGCAGAGAAAGGTTTACTAAAGAGATGACTTTTTAGCTAAATCCAAAAGTATAGGAAAACAATGGATACCAGATGGAGGTGGAGAAGGGAAATGTTTCAGGCTGAGAGAATAGTTTATACACACTAACACCATCAACTACAACTGTGGCATGTTTCCCCCTTCACCTCTAAGAGACCTATACCAATACAATGACCAACTGTCCTGGTTTGTTCAGGACAAAGGGCTTTCAGGACTGAAACTAGGAAAAGATCCATGCAAACTGGAAGGTCACACCACTAAATAATGCTTTCAAATGTCAAGACTCTTACACACATTATGTTGGCTCCAACACTATGCAGTAGTTTAAGGGATGAATTTGGGAAGCAGAGCTGGATTTGATTCCTGGCTCATTCACCAGGTTATACTTGGACAAGTTAATCATAGCCCCTATTAGGTCCACTCTATATAGAAATAACATCTGCCCAACTAGATTGAAAGATTAAAGGATGGGGGGAAAAACCTGATTCCCTGTACAAAATTAACATTTAATGAATGGTAGCTAATTACGGTACCTATTTATAGGATATGAAACACAAGTTGATCCAACTGATGTGGAATGACTGGAATAAGGCAGTAAGGCAAGCAGCTGCCAAAGCCCTGGGGCAAATGAACCTTGGGAACGAGGTACATGATATGATCAGGTAAGACCTAGTCAACATGAGGACAGAAACACTTCCTTTCTTAGGAGTGATATGGAATCCAGTGAGCCAGCATTTGTTGAGCACTTCTGCAAGTACTGTACTAGATTTCACTGCAGTTCAGTTCAGTTGTGCTGGGCATGGTGGCACACGCCTTCAGTTCCAGCACTCAGGAGGCAGGGCAGGAGGATCTCTGTGAGTTTGAGGCCAGCCTGGTCTAAATAGTGAGTTCCAGGCCAGCTGGGGCTACAGGGAGACCCTGTCTCAAAAAAGACCAAAAAAAAAAGTTCAGTTCCTACAGAAACCACCACTACGGCTAGGGGAAGAAGCACTGGATACCCAGGGAGTATGAGGCGGTGTTTTGAAGTATTTAGGGAGTTCAAAAGTATTGGACAATTCTGACCAACAGGCATGATACACATATGCCTAATTAAAATTATCAAACGAGGGGCTGGAGAGATGGCTCAGCTGTTAAGAGCACTGACTGCTCTCACAGATGACCCAGATTCAATTCCCAGCACCCACACAGCAGCTACCAACTATCCATAACTTCAGTCCCAGGAGATCTGATATCCTCTTCTGAACTCCACAGGCATTGCATGGCATGGGTTATACCTACCTACATGCAAGCAATACACTCATATACATTAAACAGAAATAATAGGCCGAACATGGTGGCACACATCTTTAATCCCAGCACTTGAGAGGGAGAGGCTGGCAGATCTTTGTGAGTTCCAGGACAGCTGAGGCTACAGGGAGACCTGGTCTCAAAAAGACTGGAAAAAAATAATAATAATCTTAAAATTATCAAACTAGGATAGAGATAGCTATCCTGTAGAGATAGCTCAGTGGTAAAGAGCACTTGCTGCTCTTGCAAAGGACTCAAGTTCAGCTCCCAGTACCCACAGAGTAGCTAACAACCATCTGTAACTCCAATTCCAGGAGAAAAGTTCCAGGGAATCCAATGCCCTCTTCTAGATTCCAAAGGCACTGCATGCATGTGCCACTTAAATACATGGAGGCAAAACACACACATAAAATAGGTCTAAAAAAATAAAATAAAATCAGGGACTAGAGGGAGGGCTCAGCAGTTAACAGCACTGGCTGCTATTGCAGAGGACCCAGGTTTGGTTCTCAGCATCTACATGGTGGCTAACAACCATCTGTAACTCCAGTTATAAGGGCTCTGATGCCCTCTTCTGACTTCTGCAGGTACTGCACAACACAGGTGCACTTACATACATGCAGGCAACACACTCATACACATTTATGATACACAATTACATAAAATAAAAAATTTTAAAAAATTCTTTTAAAAAACCAAATCATAATGAACTAGAAAAATTACCTATACCATAACTGCTATAGAAAAACAGGATACTCGATGTGGACTACAGGAACAAGGCCAAGTTTTACAGAGAATGCATAGTCACTCCAGGCTGGGAGACAATTACCAAAATAAGCATCGTATTTATAAGGGTAGTGAACATGAAAACGTGACTGTTACACGTTGACACCTTCCTTTTTTCATTCAACACAATTTTCTAGCATATCCTAAGTGATAGGAATTCAAGAAAATAAGACACCTGAAGTCTGAACCCAGCAAAACTTATTAATGGGCATCAAGCTGACTGAGAACAGGTATGCCATCATAACAGGGACCAGGCAGCTGGAATATTATCCTGAGGGCATGGGATAAAGGGAACAAGGCAATGAAAGTTGAAGGGAAATAAAAGCCACCTGTGCCTTGCAGGATTAAGCTGGGTCAAGGAAATTCTCAGGAGCGTACTAAGGCCCTCTCCCTGATTTGTGGGCTCAAGTTCATGTCTGCCAAGCTTTTCCCAAGCTTCCTGCAGTGCTTCTCTGATGAGTTCATAGCAGTTCGACAGGCAGCCTGTTTGGCAGCAGGTGCCCTGAAGATCTGTGACAAGATGGTAAGTCAAGGAAACACACTGTCATCTTATCCTGTTGACCTAAGAGGACATTACCTTCTCTGTTGTGCAACCTGGGATGAGTAGTCAGTCAAGAAAGTGAGAAGAGATACAGGCCACATCAATCAGTAAGGATCATTTGGCTCCCAGGGAGCCCAAACTTCATGCTAGAGTATGCTAGTCTTTCAAGTCTATCCACCATCTCAGTTAACTAGCTTAATACCTGGATGCTATCAGACTTTAGGGTCAACACCATAAAATTGAGTTTATAATCCCTAGTTTTTAGGGGGAAACCAGACAGAAGTGTTCAAAAGAAGTCTAGTAGGGTATAGTGTAATTCTTGCACTTGGGAGATAAGGCAGGAGAGGCAAGATCAAAAATTCAAGGTAAACCTAGGCTACATGGTGAGAGTCTCAAAAAAAAAAAAAAAAAAAAAGACAAAGCCTGGGGTGAGGTATAGTTCAATGTTAGAGCATATAGTTAGTGTATGTATGTATGCTATAGAGCAATGTGCTGAGAAAAATAACAAAATACATAATTCAGCTAGTATACTACACAGGCCAATATTTTAGGCTACAGCTCATTTGTCACTAGAATTGGTGGAAAGTTGCTTTTTCAGTTAAAGCATCCCTAGAAAACAAATGGGGCCCCCATTCTTGCTCTGGTTCTCCCAACTGAACTCTGCCCTTTGTCTATCCCAGGTGCTTGAATGTCTCCTAAATCTGATGCACGGAGATCCTTATTGGAAAATCAAAGCTCTTGCCATTCGAGGTATTTCAGAATAGCTCAAGTCCTAGACTTTACTACACCATTTCCACGTTAACATAGTAATAGGCATTCTAGTAAGGCAGCTGGAGTGTAGGGGGAAGGAATGGTCTTAGCTTCTCAGAAGTTTCTGACCTGATAAAATAAAAAGGTTTTTAAAAAATTTTTAGTTAGAATCCTAAGTCTAGGGGGCTGGAGTGATGGCTGAGCAGTTAAGCACACTTGCTGCTTTTGCAGAGGACCTGGGTTCGACTCCCAGCACCCATATGGAAGATAACATCTGTCCTTAACTCCAGTTCCAGGAGATCAGACCCTCTTCTGGCTTTCCAGGGCACGAAGTATGCATGTAGTACACTTACATACATGCCTACACATTAAATTAAATTAAATTAAATTAAATTAAATTAAATTAGGGGCTGTAGAGATAGCTCAGCAGTTAAGAACTGGTTGTTCTTGCAGAAGACCTGGGTTTGAATCCCAGCACCCACATGGCAGCTAACAACTGTCTGTCCCTCCAGTTCCAGGGGATCCAACAGCCCCTTCTGTCCTCCGTGGGCATTGCATGACATGGGTGCACTTACTTACACCCAGGCAATATACAAATACACCTAAAAATATTTTTTTAACTAAATTAAAAAAAAAAAAGAATCCTAAGTCTAGGTCTATGTTAAACTTGTCAAGCAAAGGGCAAACAATACAATCCCTGCCAAAAGAATTAAGCATAAGTTCCAAGTAGGTCTCCACTGCTAGATATATCTTGCTTTCCTTGGTGATTTCAATGACAGTACTTAGTACAAGTCAAACCAAATTTAAGACTGCTTAAGAGCTTAAACGCTGCTCTCTGATGTCCCATTTCTTCTTAGGATGTCTGCTACTTCTTTTTGAAATGGTCTCTGGTAGATCCCTAGCAGAACCAGACCTAGGTAAACCTGTACAATAACTGGGCCTCTATTCCCCCATTACTCTGTCCTTGGTTTTCCAAGTTATTGGCCTCCTATCTCATCCCTAAATAGGCAAATTTGTCTCTATTCACATCCTAATAGGCAAGGATAGGAAAGAAACACTCCTTTCCTAGATAGCCTTTAGAGGATTTATCTCACTATAGAGCCAGGCATGGTGGTGCACACCTGAAATCCCTGCCCTCAGAGGCAGGGGCAGAACTGCTGCAAGCACAAGTTTGAGGTTGTCTTGTCTACAAAGTTCCAGGCCAGCTAGGCAGGGCTATATAGTAAGACCTTGCCCTAAACCTAAAGCCTTTTTTCTTTTTGGTGGTGGTGCTAGACATCAAACCTCACACATGCTTAGCAAGGCTTAGCCAGTGTTCGTTTTCTCTCTCCCCCCCCCCTCTCTCTGATAGAGTCTCACCTTGTAGCTCTTGCTGGCTTGAAACTATGTAGACCAGGCTGGCCTCAGGTTCACAGACCTCCATCTGCCTCTGCCTTCCAAATGTTCACAATCATGACCCCCCTCTAAAGTTCTTTTCTAAATTTCATTATTTTAAAATATTTTTCATTTTACTCCTACTCTAATGGTGATTAATGGCTATCCCAAACATTTTGTTTGCAAAACTCAATTTCTTTCTGGATGCTAGGATACAGCCAACTCAGTCTTCACTGACAACAGAACATGCTGCCTTCTCTCCTCTACAGCTTTGGGACAGATTGGGCAAGTGAGTCCCCAACTGAGAGATAGCCTGCTCTGGGCCATCCACTATGAATACTCACCAAGTGTATGACTGGAAGCTTGCCGTAGCATCCAAGGCCTCAAATTTCAAGGGAACCAGGTCAGGGACACCTTCTTAGATGTGCTGCTCCTGGAGGATCACAAGGCTGTTCTAAAGTAAGCACTAAACTTCTGGACTCTGCCATGACCTTATGGACTGCCAACTCTCCCATCCTTGACCTCTGAATATGCTCTGCCTTTCTAGGCACCTATTGGAAGTAGGTAACAGCTTGATGTGCCATCCCCTACTTACATCACCAAGTGGGTGAGAGAAAATCCAGTTGTAATTGGATTATCAAAGCTCCCATGGTTAATGTGTGATTTTTCCTCTACCAGGTATTCTTGGTCTTTTAGGGTTTTTTTTTTTTTTTTTTTTTTTTGTTTTTTGGAGACGGGGTCTCCCAGCTGCCCTGAAACACACTATGTAGACCAGGCTGGCCTTGAACTCACAGAGATCCGCCTGCCTCTGCCTCCTGAGTGCTGGGATTAAAGGCATGTGCATGCCCAGCTATACCAGGTAGTTTTAACTTATTCAACAAACATTTATCTAGTACCTACTGAGACAGGAGGCTTTGGAATCAAAAGTACCAGGGTCTGAATTTCAGCTCTCTCATGCAATAGCTATGTGAACCTGGGGAAAGCACTTAAACATTCTGAGTCTTTCTTTTTTCACAAGACTCCAATACAGATAAAAGCCTACTACATTTTAGGCTGTGGTGACAATGAGATGACATTTACTACCTTTCATAAAGGTGTTCAATAAATGGTACTTATCCCTGCTTTCACAGATTTCATTTCCAAAACTACACAGTAACTGTACAAGTTATCATAATACCACTTTTGCAGAGAAGGCTCAGTAAAACTGCAGTTAGGATTAGAATTTAGTAATCTTGCCTAATTCCAAGTCCCACAGTTTCTACTACCATGCTTTAAATAACAGGGTAAAACAAGTTAAGACATCTTTCTTATCTTTCAGGGAAATTTACCAGGCAATGAAGACACTCAACTTAGAAAATGAAAGCAATTCTCAAGAAATGCTTCAGGAGATCCATAACAAGGTAAATAAGTACAAACTGTATTTTCAAGAGAAAATTCAGGGCTTCAAGAAGTCCACAGACCTTTTTATTCCCCTAAGCATATATATATATATAATCTCTCTCCTACCACAGAAATATTTTCTACAACCTCAGACACAGATACTAAATCATTTGAGGAGGCAAAACATGCACAAGATTGGGTTATAAAATCCCATTAGTAAAAAGACAAAAGAAAAATCTCAGTAGTCCTAGTAAGTGGCATTTAGAAGTCAAAATTTATTATTTCTGACAGTTTCCTTTCCTTCCTGTTTTCTCCCCATCACCCCTTAAATCCAAGTTGTTCTTTTTTATAGACATAAAGGAATGAGGTCAGAATCAGCCTCCGACATTTTCTTTTCCCTTGTGCATTTTCCTTAATTTCTAATCTATTTCTCCAAAGAACTACAGCTTGAACAGTGGCTTTAATTTTCTTTTATTTTTTTGAGAGAGGGTCTCTGTGGCCCTAGCCAGCCTGGAACTCACTATGTAGACCAGGCTGGCCAGTGTGGTCCTAACACTATGGGACCACAGAGATCCCATGCCTCTGCCTCCTGAGCACTGCTATTAAAGGCATGGGCCACCACACCTGGCTTCATTTTAATCTTTTAAACCCAATAGATGAGACAAAGGAATAGGGGGAAAAAGAGTTCAAAACGATAATTCACAAAACCAAGTTCCCACCAAGCAGGAATTTTTTTAGCAGGTTCCTTTTATCATGCCCAAACAGCTCAAATAAAATTTTCATTAGCTGGTGTGATAAATCTCCAATTAATATCACGAGAGGACAATGGTTTCATTATTCACATCCTACCTAATACTAATGAGCATGCCATAGTCAGTTACTTTAACTTTTTTGTTTTGGGTTTTTGAGACAGTGACTATGTAGCCCAAGATGGCCTCAAAGTTGGGATCCTTTTGCCTCAGTATGTATTTTTTTTTTTTTTTTTTTTTTTTTTTTTTTTTGGTCTTTTTGAGACAGGGTCTCCCTGTAGCCCCAGCTGTCCAGGAACTCACTATGTAGACCAGGCTGGCCTTGAACTCACAGAGATCCACCTGCCTCTGCCTCCCAAGTGCTGGGATTAAAGGTATGCGCCACCATGCCTGGCATATGTAGCTTTATTAATGCTTTTTGATGATTTTCTACCTAATATAGTTGGGTTGTTTTTCTAATCTAGATTGAAACACTAAACCAAAAGGAACTGCTGACAAAGAAAATATTCAGGATGGAGATGGTCATAGGAAGTATGAAGGAAAAAGCTAAACATATTTATTCACAACCCAAAGAGGACCAAAAACCATTGGAACTCCACACTCTTCTTGAAGAAATGTTTGACAGTAGGTTTTCTGAGGGGGGGTTGGGGGGAAATCCCATCCTTTGACTCTTTTTTAAAAATATTTGTTATTTTTATTTTATGTGTATGAGTGTATTGCCTGCATGTAGTTAAGTGTGCCTGTGTCATGCAATGTCCGAGGAGGACGGAAGAGGCCACTGGATCCCTTGGAACTGGAGTTTTAGACAGTTGTTAGCTGCTATGTGGGTGCTGGGATTTGAACCTGGGTCTTCTGCAAGAACAGTCAGTGTTCTTAACCGCTGGGCCATCTCTCCAGCCCCCATCCTTTGACTCTTACAATAAGGATATTCCTGGTTCTAGATGTTTGGAGATCTCATTGGGAGCCCTGTAGGAGGAAAGTGAAGAAAGGCTCTTTTCCTTCTTAGTCACCATCTCCTCAGTCCCCACCCCCCACACACACCAGGTTTTTATCCATTTGCAATTTTGTCGTTTTAAAAGTAGCTCTATTTAAACTGAGTTAAAAGTTGGATCAAAAAAGGGCATACTAGAAAAGTACATATCTATATAAAAATAAACTACTGTGCCAGGTGTGATGGTGCACACCTTCAATCACAGCACTCGGGAGGTAGAGAAGGGCAGATTTCTGGGAGTTCGAGGCCCACCTGGGCTACACAGTGAGTTCCAGGGCAGCTACAGGGAGACGCTGTCTCAAAACACACACACACACACACACAAACCTTGAACCCTTCAGTTACGATGACAGGATATTAAAGTCCTACACACAACCTAAATGATAAGGATGCATGAAGTCAAAGTACCGAAATATACTTACAAAATTTGGAGCAGTAGCCTCAGGTCACTCAGACAGTTGCCTATCAGCCACCACCCCAAACCCAGGTCTTCCTGGTTCCAAGTCCAGTGCTCTTGCTGGTACACCAGGCTTTCTCTTCATCAGTCATGAGAATATGCACTTGACAGATTTGGGGAAGTTTCAACCAACTGCCAGAAAAAAAAAATCAGAGTGGAAAGTAACTTGAACACCAGCCTTCCCTCATGGCCAGTTTTCTAAAAACTGGGTAAGGGCTATGAAAGCACAGCCAGGTGACATGATGCTCTTTTGGTACTGGCCACCGATTCAAACCCAGCACTGAGCAAACATCTAACATATACTCTTAAAGCTGACCCTGCTAATGGAAGCTTTTCTACTAGGATTGTCCTATTTGGAATTCAAGCAGCATAACTAAAACGAGATGAGTAAATTACCCCCAAAGCTAATAAACAGCCCCAACCAGATAAATTTCTCTTCTTTAATAAGTGTGTTGCTGGGGATGAACCCAGGGCTTTGCATATGCCAAGCATGAGCTCTACTGTTGAGCTACACCCCAGCCCTCTTCAGTAAAAAGTTGTTTCATATGCTCCTTTTACATCTTACAGCTACTCCAAGTTGCCTTTCATCTCCCCCATTATATTCTCTGTATCCATCCCCCCAACATATACACACTTCTTCAAACCAACCCACATAATAATCTAGGCTTAGAAGAAATGTTCTTTGGCACTTTTTAATAAAACTTCTAATGTTCATACAATATAACAGGATACTGACCCCAGCCCTCCCCACAGAGAACTCAAACAAGCAACTGCCACATAAAAATTCCTAAAGCCGAATGACACAGCCCAGTGTTGCACTGCAACCTGAGGAGAATGAAGCTGGTGCTCTGAAATGGGAGGGTAATCAACGTTACTTCTTCAGAAATAGCATTTTTTTTTCCCCTTCTCCAATTTCTGCTTTTACTTTTGTACCTAGATGAAGTGGTTCCTCCTAGAAGAATGTCAGAGTTTTGTGACACCAAAGCAGTCATAAAGGTAATGTGATCACACTGACGGCTATCAAGGTAAGAACATGAGTTCCTTTTTCAAAATAAGGTGGCAGTGGTGGTGGAGAATCACTACTGCACTCTTTCCAGCCATCAACAAGAAACTAATTTTGAGTGAGAGGCACCTTGGTGAGCAGCAGCCCCTTATCATACAACATGGTAGCCAAAGAAAGCTGGTCCTCCACACTGTCACAGGGCAGATCCCCTACTCTCACAAACTCTGGGTAGGAGCGAAGCAAGAGTTCCATGGCATCAGCTTGCTGAGGGTAGATCTCCAAGCACTTGGGCTCCTCCAGGTGATAAACACGGGAGTTTTCCACCGTGTAATAAAGGAACAAGCGGCCTCCCTCACCCACCAGCCGAGCTATGCCATCCTGAAGCATGTGGACTTCTGTTTCTGTTGTTAGCTGGGCCCCCACATTTACGGGCTCTCCAGCTTCCCAGCGAATTGGGAGCCCGTGAACACTCAGCGCCTTTTCCCTATCACTCAACACAGGGGGTAGGGAATCGTGGATGAAGTCTTTGGCTCGCTGGTCGGCCACAGCATCGACAGGAGCAAAATGTCCCAGCCGGGCAACCAAGACCCGCACCTTTTCCATGAAAGCCGTTCTCCGTGGATCCTTAGAGTCTGAATGCTGAGCCCCCATGTAATCCATGAAATCTCGGGGCAGACCCCTCCGAAACTCTACATTTTCTTCTATTGCTGCCTGCACTGCCAGGGGCACTACAGCCTCCAGGAAGTCACCCCAGGTATTGCGCTGGTAGGTGGACAAGGTGAGGTGCAGAGAGTGCATTCCATCCTGGCATTCAGCTTGGTGAATGAAGCCCCGGGGAAAATAGAGCAAATCTCCAGGTTCCAGCACCGTCTGAAGCACCGGCTCACCGAGGTCCTCTTGGCTGAAGTTGGGGCTAGACGTCAGGGCTAGTTCCTCAGTCGGGTCCCGGGGTCGGTAGACTCGCCAGAGCTTCCGACCTTCCAGCTGCAGCACAAAAGCTTCAATGTCGTCATAGTGGGGAGCAAAGCCCTGCGAATTGGGGGGCGTGAGGTAAACGTTGGAGCCTGCCATGCTTCCGAACTGTTCCTGTAGCACAGCCAAAAACTGCCACACACTGCTCGAGAAAGCCTGCGGGCAGAGAAGGCGCAGGGAGCAGCCGGCCCGGTACAGCGACCACGCGGCGGCGGGCAGAGCGCGGCCCGGCGGGTTCAGCGTCTCCCGCCGCCCGCAGACGTAGCGCGCAGCGTCCAAGTGTTGCCCGAAGTGCACGTCCTCGTGGCGCAGCATGGCGTCCAGGTCCGCGGTGCAGAAGAGGCCCTCGTAGTACGAGGGGTCCTGCCGCCGAACCAGCACGGCCTCCCGCTCCCAAAGGCATCGGTAGAAATGGTCCGGAGGCATGGGCGCAATGAGCCACTCGAAGAGGCGGGCCGCGCGCCGCCGGCTGCTAGGGATGCGGTTCAGTTCCGCCAGGACCTGCCGCAGCGGGGAGTCGCCGGGCAGCTCCCGACCCGCGGGGGTAACGCGGAGGCCCGCAGCCACCTCCGCGAGCCTCAGGCGCGCAGCCAGGGTCTCCGCCGAGCGCTCAGCCACTGAGGCCTCCCGCCGCTCCTCAGGCCCGCGGTGGCCGTGCGGCTCTCGCCCGCCCGCAGCCGCGTCGCCAGGTAGCGCGTCCCCCGGGTCGTCCGCGGCCGACTCCACCTTCGAGCCCTGGGAGTCCTCGCTCGGCAGTGCCCGAGCCCTCACCGTAGCCATGCGGGACGCGACGCTCCTTCGGTATCTCCGGATCTTTCTAGGCCTCAAGGGCAGGGCCAAGGCTGACCCGCCGTGGGGCTGACGCCGGCGCCTCACCCGCCCGCGCCTCAGCAGTCCGGCGCGGTCCTCACTTTCCCGAAACCCATTCATTTTGGAACCAAGGTGGACCCGGGGGGAGCAGCCGAGCCCAGATTTTGGGCAGGCGGCCACAGCGGGGCTTTCTGGGAAGGGGGCGTGGCCCGCAGCAGCCCCTACGTTGGCCACGCCCACCCGCTACCCAGGTTTGCCCGCTGGCCGGGTTACTTACCAGGCTTTATGCTAGAAAGGCAAAATCCCCACCAAACGAATTATAAATTCCATATTTACAGAGCAATTAACAAAAAGTGGGGCTGGAGAGCTGGCTCAGCGTGTAAAAGCACTGATTAGTCTTGTAGAGGAACCGGTTCAATTCCCAGCAACCACATGGCTGCTGACAACAAACCAGAAACTCCAGTTTCAGGGGTTCTGACGCCCACTTCTGACTTCCGAGGGCATTGCACTGCAAAACGCTCATTCATATAATAAAAATAAAAATAAAAACAAGTAACTTGGCACTCCAGGAGAAAAATAATTGGCTACTTCAGTTCTCTTTCTTTTTAGTCTCCTTCCGCCTTCCTTCCTGACATAATTTTTGTAACAGGAAATTTTGTTCCCCAGCAGTTTCCCAGTAGAAATCTGGTTTTCAAGGAATGCTATCAGGCAAAGATCGAGATTCTACACAAATCACAGTTTTTACCGGTCCTCTTTTTCTTTTGTTTTTTGTTTTTGTTTTGTTTTGTTTTTTTCGGTCTTTTTGAGTCAAGGTGTCCCTGTAGCTCCAGCTGACCTGGAAAACTCACAATATAGACCAGGCTGGCCTTGAACTCACAGAGACCCAACCTAGCCCCCCCACCCCCCACCCTCGCCCCAGTGCCGGGATTAAACGCGTGCGCCACCACGCCCAGCCTTTATCGGTCCTCTTTACTCCCCAGATAACTTTATTGATTGAAGCTGTGAGCGTTTCTCCTTGAATTTCTCTCCCTCCTTTCGCCCCTGCGAATTCTTGGGGTGTGGTGACTCACTGCTGCAATCCCACCACTTGGAAGGCTGGCGCGGGATTGCCTGGTCTACAAGGTGAGGGTGAGACCCTGTCTCAAAAATCTGAAAAAAAAAATCTTGCAATCATCCTTCCTTTGAAAAGAAAGTTACGGACTGCTCTGCTTTGTATGTTTGTGACAGGATTTTGCTATGTTGTCCAGTCTGACCTTGAACTCCTAGTCATCCTGTCTCAATCCGGAATTGTAGACATGCATCATGACGCTCTGCTTCTGCATGCATTTTGTTTGCTTATTTTTTTGTTTTTCTTTTTATTGTGTTTTGCATTGCATTGGGGGGGGGTTGTGGGTTATTATTTTGTTATTTTTGTTATTTTGAGACAGCATCTCACCACCTAACGCTGGCTGGCTTGGAACTCTCTATGTAGATCTGGCTGACCTCAAACACAGAGATGGGATCTGTTTGCTTCTGCCTCCCAAGTGCCACCACTCTTGATATCTGCCTTTCCTAGTTGTGTAAGGTTTGTTTCATTAGCTGCAACTTCTCTACAGAATCTTCAACCTCTACTTCTGGTTTAAATAGACTTCCTAAATATGGGTCTCTCACCAGCCTAGGCTATAGAGTGAGTTCCAGGCCAGCCTGGGCTACAGTGCAAGACTATGTCTCAAAAGTAAATAAAAAATAAAGCCCGGGGCCTCACATTTTGTAGGCACAGTGATAGACATGATTGTACAATGCTGAAAACATGGTCACTATTGTCATATGCCTATTGTTGTTTTATATATAATGATGGCTAATCTTCATTGAAATCATTGAAGACCAATCCTCAGGGGCTGGAGAGATGGCTCAGCAGTTAAGAGCACTGACTGCTCTTGCAGAGGACCCAGGTTCAATCCCCAGCACCCATATGGTGGCTAACAACCACCCATAACTCCAGTTCCAGAGGCTCTGTTGCCCTCTTCTGAACTCTGCAGGCATTGCACAACATGGGTGCACTTACATACATCCAAACAATACACTCATACACACAAAATAATAATAAATTTCTTTTGGTCTTTTTCAGAAAGGGTCTCCTTATAGCCCCAGCTGACTCAGAACTCAATGATGTAGACCAGGCTGGCCTTGAACTCACAGAGATCCGCCTGCCTCTGCCTCCTGAGTGCTGGGATTAAAGGCGTGTGCCACCACACCCTGCCCATAGTAATAAATAAATTTTTAAAAAGACAGATTCCCAGAAATACTATCACTAGACCAACAGGCAAGTTTTTATGATTATTAGTACGCTTTACCGAACTGTCCTCCAAATGGCTTAGTAAATCACCCCTCAAATGGGTTTACAATGTTGCTAGGATTTATAAGCATTTATAAATGTATAAGTCTCCATGGCCCCTGGGATCTTTTTTGGGATTCTGGGCTTTCAACATGCCCTTTTTCTATGGCATTCTTTTTTTTTTTTTTTTTAATGTGTATGCATGTAATTGCCTGCATGTAGGTAAGTGCAGCCATGTAGGTAAATGCCTGCGGAGGGCAGAAGAGACTGTCAGATCCCCTGGAACTGGAGTTACAGTTGTTAGCTGTCTGTAGTTGTTGCCATGTGGGTGCTGGAATGCGAACCCAAGTCTTCTGCAAGAACAATCAGTGTTCTTATTCACTGAGCCATCTCTCCAGCCCCCTTTCTGTAGCATTCTTATCCAAACAGTTGCCAAAGCTTTTAGATTTTAGTTCTACCCATGTCTAACATTTACCCTTTCTTCTTTCCCACATGGTCTACTACATGGATCTCAAATGAGGGCAGTTTTGCTTTCCTAGGAACACCTGTCAATCTCTTTTGCATGGTGGGGATGAAGTTTCCAACATCTAATGATTAGAAGCTAGAGATTCTGCTAAATATCTCACAATACAAAGAACAACCCCTACATCTAATAATTATATGATCAAATGTCATTAGTTCCAAGGCTGAGAAACACTAGTATCTTTCTACCTTCCTACTTTTATTCCTTCCCATTCTAATTTATATCACAGGTAAATGATACAAGATTCTTCTCCCTCAAGTTGTGTCCCCGAGCTTTACCACTGTGCTCAAAACTTACCCATGTGCTCAATGGACCAATGGAAATGCCCTGCTAGGTACTTAGGTCATCTAGTGCTATATATGTCTTATCAGGTTATGCCCTATTACTGGGAGCTGGCAGTTTATTGTCCCTTGTCTTTGTCAGCTTCTGTAGGTCCCCTTATGCTGTTCATTCTGAATGTTACCTCTCAATCTCCTTTTGTCAAAACCCTCAAAGATTATGCATAGTTATGTTGAAATAAAGTTCTAAAAAGAAAAAAAAAAGACCTCAAAGCTCATTTTACATTCCATCTCCCCAAAGACTCTGTCTTCTCCCTAAAGCACTTTGTGCTTTGTATGAGTGATATACTTGATACATTCCTGCTTAAACGTCCTAAGTTGAAATTAATTGATTAATTAATCAATAAAAGGTTGAGTGCATTGGCCAATGCCTTTAATCCCAGAAATGGGGAGGCAGAGCAGGTAGATCTCTGTGAGTGTGAGGCCAGCCTGGTCTATGTAGTGAGTTCCAGGCCCAGCCGGACTACTTGGTGAGACCTTGTCTAAATAGACTCTCCAAATTGTAAGTTCCTTCTAAGGATAAACTTCTGAGCCAGGTGTGGTGGTGCACGCCTTTAATCCCAGCACTCCAGAGTCAGAGGCAGGTAGATCTCTATGAGTTCAAGGCCAGCCTGGTCTACAGAGTGAGTTCTGGCCAGCTGGAGCTACAGGGAGACCCTGTCCCCAAAAGACCAAAAACAAGCAAACTTCTTTATGCCTTTTTTGATCTTTGATTTAACTCACTGCTTTTCTCAGACATTGCACAGGAAATGTTTGTGGAAAGCAGACTGATCAGAATTGAAGCCTTTGTACTTAGTATTTGTGGTATTTGCACAAACAAATTACTCTCTCAGGTCTCAATTATCACATGTGTAAAATGGAGATTATGATTGTACCTACTTCCTTACAACAATTCCTAGAATTGTTGTAAGAGAAAATAATACATGTAAGGCACTTAGCCTGGTACAGAGATAGACATTTAAAATGGTAGCTATGTCAGGCATGCTGACACATGCCTATAATCCCAGCACTTGGGAAATGGAGACAGGAGGATCAGGCGTTTAAGGCCAATCCAACTACATAGCAAGTTTGAGATCAGCCTGGGCTATATGAGACCTTGTCTCAAAACATGCACACATGAAATAGACTAGATACATACAATTAAATAAACTAGAATAATAAAATGATAGCTGTAATAATAACTGCTATAGAGCAAAGCCCTGTAGGATGGTTTATCTGCCACTGACCTAGTTGGGAAGAAGGTTGAGTAAACTGGGTGGGGCAGAGTTCAGAAGGTTTTGTTGCTATTGTTATTTCTGTTTTTGTTATTGTTGTTTATAAGGGCTCATTTTTGTAGCCCAGGCTGACCTAGCACTTGGGATCCTCTGACCTCAGCCTCCTAAGTGCTGAAATTACAAGTGTGTACCACCATGCCTAGGACAGAGTTCTTTTTAATTAATTAAGTGTATGAGTGTGTTGCCTGCATGTGTGTAAGTGCATCTGTGTCATGCATTGCCTACAAAGTCCAGAAGAGGGCATCAGAGCCCCTGGAACTGAAGTTAGGGACAGTTGTTAGCTGCCATGTAGGTGTTGGGAACCAAACCCAGGTCCTCTGCAAGATCAGTTAGTACTCTTGACCCCTCTAGCCCCCAGAACAGAGTTCCTGAGTGGGATAGGATGGCAGTGGAAAGTAGAGAATTTAAGTTACTTTTGTATATACTCCATGGAAGCTTAACTAAATTGGTTGGGACCTGTGGTGGTTAATATTGTCAACTTGACAAGATCTAGAATCACTAAAGAGACAAGGCTCTATGCATGTCTGTCAGGGCTTATCTAGATTAAGTTGAAGTGGGAAGACCCACTCTTGGGTTGGAACCATCAATAGGCTGAAGTCCTGGATTGGGTAGAAGGAGAAAGCAAGAGCTCTGCACAAGCATTCCTCATTCTCTGCTTCCTGACTGTGGATGAAATGTGATCAGCTGCTTCCTGCTGCTGCCACCATGCCGTGATGGAATAAAAGCCAAAATAAGTCC